AGTAACATCATTTTGATTTTGTTTTAATGGGGGATAATTCATTCTTCGATGAAATTGATGGAAAACCACGAACCTAAAAATCTATGTTTAGAAATGAAAAATTCTAGTGTTGATTTAAGACTACAATCGATGGAGATTGTAGAATAGTTTCAAACTTTAAAATTATTTTTTTATTTTTTATTTCTTTTATATTTAAAGAAAAACGAAAGTCAATTCAATGGATGGATAATATTGATTCTTAAAAAATAAATACGAGTTCAACATTAAAACTAATCACAGTTTTCACAAATTAAAAAAAAAAAAAGACTAATTACAGTGACTCCAATCTTCTTGTAGTCATTGAATAGTCTTCCATAATTATAAACACATAATAATATAATATAATAGTATATTTCATAATTAGTGACGGAAAAAATACCTTGTGCCAAAAGATAATGAAGACGAATTAATAGATGATTTAGACAGGGAAACCATGGTCAAATTTAAAATAGCATCAACTCAATAAGATTCAAAAGGCGATAATAAGATTGTCAAAATCCTGAACCAAACGTCGCATTGGTGCAGCATGGTACCTCTCATAAGTTGGTAACACATAGACCCAAAATGACCCATGACCCGATCAACCCGACCCGACCTCGATCCGACCGACCCGATTGACAGGTCTAATTGCAACACACACTTTTTCACGTGTTTAAAAAAAGTGGGGTTCACATGATTTAATACCCTTTAAAATGGGGTGAGAGGTTGTTAGAAGTACAATTAAGTAGGTCATACTTTTCCCCAAAATAACTTTCTAATTATATGTGTTGTAAGTATTGTGATATTTCATTTTAGGGAAGTGTTGCAAGTATTAAAAAACGGAGTTAGTATAATTTAAGTTTTTTGTGCTACTATATTAGTGGACCACAACCGTTACAAATTCCATTAACTCCAATTACCATTACTAGATTCACTTCAATTTTTACTATTGTTGATAAAACTGATAAGCTTTAATAAATGACGATGCGTTAGCCTTATTATATAAAGCTTACGCCAATTGTCTAGGTTATATATCAGCCGTATTTTTTTTTATTAGATCGGTTCTTCAACTTACTCAGATGCTACAAAGTATGATTTTTTCTATGTGTTACCAACTTATGAGAGGTAGCATGCTGCACCAATGCGCCAATCCTACAAAGTATGATTTTTTCTATGTGTTACCAACAATATTAAATTTGTAACAACTTGTATTCTACATCAAGGGCTTCATCTTCACCGTAAATATGTGTGTCCTTTGCTTGTTGTTTATGCTTGTTAAATATCGTGTGTCCTTTCACCTCCCAATCGAACCTCATCCCGTCATCCGTGTTCCGATCTTGCTCAAATTTTAAGTACGTTAAATATGGCTAACATTTGGTCCAATTAAGGAATAAACGCAATTACCTTTCCAGCTTTCCTCTTCCTCATTCCCCCAAATTGCAAAACCCTAACTTCTTCTTCCTCATTTCCCCCCTGTGCTCTTTGTCGGTCGTCTGTCCGCAGCGGCGACGACGACCTTGAAAGTAAGTGAATTTGGGGATTTTTTTTGCTAATACTTATCAATTTGGGGATTTTTTTTTGCCAAATCGTTGAATTTCATATGCTAATGTACATTACGAATTGGGGATTTTTTGTAAATCGCTTTTTGCTAAATCGTTGAATTTCATATGCTAATGTACATTACGAATTGGGGATTTTTTGTAAAGCTGAAGATTGGGGATTTTTTCGCTAATTTACTTCTCAAGTTCTCAATTTGGGGATTTTTTATGCTATTTCGTTTAGTCTTCATGATTTTTTGAATATGGTTATTATACTGATTATTGAATTTATCATTCATTCATCGATTTCATTCTGCATTTATCATGTGTGTGTAGCAGACTAGCAGTATATACCATGAGTTTAGAGTCATTGATTCATGTGTGGGAAGTCACAAAAGTCGTCTGAAACTTGTTCTTCTCTAATAGAAGAACATGTTTTAGTTTGATAATTGAGTCAATAAGGTTAGATTTTGTTGAATTTGGATTGATGTTCATTAATTCCATAGCTTTTGTAATATGACTAGATTAATTTCATAGCTTTTGAAATATGACTTGAAATATGACACGATAGTAATTCCATAGCTTTTGAAATATGACTTTTGAAATATGACTTTTGAAATATAATTAGAATTCCATATTGTTTATTTTCGGGATGTTCATTAATTCTGTTGGATTAAAAGAAATGTTATGTGGCCTAGGGGCTTAGTGAAGGTTCTAGGCCATGCTTAGAGCCCTATAAGTAGGGGACTTAGCCTTCATTTGAGGCATCTCAGAAAACACTTGTACACTCTTTCTCAAGCTATCAAAAAGCATTCAGTTAACATTCTCTTATCTTCTCACATTCTCTTAGCTTTCGTTGCACACTCTTGCTTAAAAAGCATTTCGGGATTAAGCCTTGACTAGCATCCAAGGGAAGGAAGTTAGTGGGCTAGCGTGCTCAAGACTAGGGGAGTTAGTCAGCACGTGACATTATGCTCTCTTGACTGTTTACTGCAGCAATTAGAGGAGCATTTTTTTTCAAATCCAAGCACATCATTCTAATTTAGGGTTTTAATTTTGGGGTTTTAATTATCAATCGAGTCAATTTTGATTGAACATGTGGAACATGTGGCATGCAGGAGATCCACCCTGGTTTATAAATGTTGTTGAATTTGAATATGGAACATGTGGCATGCAGGAGATCCACCCTGTTTATGGATTTTTGTCTGAAAATGTTGAGTTTACTCGGAAGTGCGAAGACGAGGGACCCCCTGCTTTTGCAATACGACAAAAGGTGAAACAAGAATGCCTTTTGGGTTTCAATAGTACAGTTCAAAGACGAGGGACCCCCTGCATTTTAGGTTTTCTGGTAGTAAAGAGTTGTGTTTGGAAGGAAACCTTCCAAACACAACTCTTTGCTATCCCAGAAAACCTTTCTTATGCATTTTGTTATCGAAACTTGAGAGAGATATAACCAAAATGATGTGCTGGATTTGAAAAGAGATGCTACATTTACAAGTACCTAGTGTCAGTAAGGCTCTTGGCTCTTGATTCTGATTCTGAAGGATTTGGTCTCACTTGAATGCACAAGAAGGAGGTATATGCTCATCTGATCTTACTATCTGTAATTTTGATCAATTTATATGGTTAAATTATTTCAAAGATTTCGATCAACTTTGATCAACCTCCTTAACTTCCTCAGTTCTCCTTGCCTCATTCTTAATTCTTACCTATCCTTCTCCACCACCATAAATGGCTGCTGAGTAGGATACTGCAGATTCGCAATAATGAAGATGAATAAATGGTATGATTCTATCTTTAATTTGATCAACTTTGATCAACCTCCTTAACTTCCTCAGTTCTCCTTGCCTCATTCCTCCTTAATTCTTACCTATCCTTCTCCACCACCATAAACGGCTGCTGAGTAGGATACTGCAGATTCGCAATAATGAAGTCACAGATGGCTTGGTGTGATAGAAGCGGATAAATGGTATGATTCTATCTTTAAATTTCCATTCAAATAGCTAATTAGTCTCTTTAATCAAATTTTAAATTTGTAACAACAATATCAACGTTTGTAAGAGTAATTTATAACAAAATTCACAAGTAAATAACAACAATTCAGAAATTGATAACAGCAATTTATCACCAGTTTATATTAGCAATTCACTAGTTTATAACAACAATATTAAATTTGTAACACCAATTCAGAAGTTTATAACAACAATTCACAAGTTAGTAACAACAATATTAAAGTTTATAACAGCATTATACTTAATTAGTCTCTTTCATCAAATTTTAATTTGCGCGCATTGCATTATATACTTCATTTATGAGTTTGGAACAACAGGTATAAACTTTTGGAACATTAAGTAATTAGTGTTGAAGTGTAACAGTTCGAAAAAGTATTGAAAAACTTTGGAAAAATATTGATCACCGTATCGAAGCCAAATCATTTTCTCAAAAGAGCCCATTATAAGCTACATCCTCAAATTTCACTTCAATTTGGTTGAGACATTCCAGTTAGGAGTCAGTTAATTACTTTGGAGGTAAACTTGAGGATGTAGCTTCTGTTCGTGACATTAATAGTTTAGTAGCTGAAAGCAAAAAACTTACAATACAAAACTTACAATGGGCTCTTTTGAGAAAATGGTGTGGGATCGATAAGGTGTCAATATTGTCTCAATCTTTCTATACATTGCTTGTAAGTTTGACATGCCAAAGTATAGAAAGAAAGACATAACAGATCTTTCTATGACTTTAACAATAACAACCATGATATACAAGGTAATATAATATAAGAGTCGATATACAAGATAGATTATATACAAGGTAAAGTAAAACTAAATTATGTAAAACTAAATTCTCCATTGAGATACAAGATAGATTATATACAAGGTAATGTAAAACTAAATTATGTAACACTAAAAATTCTCCATTGAGATTATATACAAGATAGATTATATATAAGGTAATGTAAAACTAAATTCTCAATTTATACTCAATTTATGTCACTATATTCAATTTAGGGTTTTTAGGGTTCTTTGAAGTTGGATAATTGAACTATTGGAGTCTAGTTTGATAATTGAGTCAATAAGGTTAGATTTTGACAATCTAGTGTTATATCGTGTATTTAAATTTAATTGTCAGACTGTATATAGCTTGGTGGTGGGAAGGCTGGGTTAACTTGTACAAGTGAGAGTACAAGTTATCATAGTCTTGTTTACAGTGATATAGCTTTTCAGTTATCACAGTGGCTGATTGTGAAGGGTTGAGATCATTGATAGTGATTAAGAATTGATCTAATAAATGCACAAAGTATAGGTTTTGGTACCAAGAAGGCTTGAAGTAGGTTGTAATAACGATTTAGTTTTTATAAATTAGCATCAATGATCCTATCATTGTACAAATGTTGTTGCACCGTGATGATGCTGTTGCACCTACGTTCACCATTCTTGAAAAATAATGGTTGTTGAGTATGCAGTCACTGTATTCAAGACAATAAAAAAAATGAAAGAATGGTTGTTGAGTATGCAGTCACTGTCTCAAGGTCCACCTCTGTCATCATTCTCTCTGTTAGAACAAGAAGTGTTTCAGGCCCCACCACCTACTGAAAACAAAGGGGTAGCACAAATATCTACTGTAGCAACCAACCCCTCACAGCAGCCACAATTACAGTCACTGTCTCAAGGTCCACCTCTGTCTCAGGCATCAACACAGCCTTCCCGGCCAACAGTTACTCCGACTGCATCGAGTCAAGCAAAGGGCAAAGGGCAAAGAAAAGGTCCCTGCTGCTAAGGCCAGGAAGCAGAAGACCAACTCAATGAGTAGGAATACTGCAGATTCGCAATAATGAAGATGAGATGGCTTTGTCACAACAATATTAAAGTTTGTAACATCAATTCACCAGTTTGTAACAGCAATTTTATGTCAAATGTTACCCTATTCTTTCATATAACTTTAAGAAAATAAAGATTGTGAAGGTTAGAGTAGTGAAGGAAAATCCCAATGATGTTTCTTACATGATAAAGAGAGATTTTGCATTAGGAAGGTTATTGTTTGATAATCCAGGAAGCAGAAGACCAACTCAATGAGTGGAAAAGGGCAAAGAAAAGGTCCCTGCTGCTAAGGCCAGGAAGCAGAAGACCAACTCAATGAGTAGCAAAGGGCAAAGAAAATTGTCTCTTTCATCAAATTTTAATACATCTGTTAATTTCAAACAATCACTGTCTCAAGGTCCACCTCTGTCTCAGGCTGCACAGCCTTCCCAGCCAACACAGTCACTGTCTCAAGGTCCACCTCTGTCGTCATTCTCTCTGTTAGAACGAGAAGTGTTTCAGGCCTCTCAAGGTCCACCTCTGTCTCAGGCATCAACACAACCTTCCCAGCCAACAGTTACTCCGACTGCATCAAGTTAATGTTCCAAAGATAAATTCTCATTGTTCTTATTGTTTCTTCCTTATATTCCTAACAAATACCTATTGTTCATATTTCTTCTTTATAATTGAACTTTTACACTCCTTTCTCTTGTTTATTGAAGGATTACTTTGCCAAGTTTTCAACAATGGCAGCAACGCTGGTAAAAAATGTGTCCATCTATAGAATATGAATTTAGCAACAATGAATTTAGCAACTATATTATTATTGTTATAAACTTCTGTCTTATTATTATAAACTTCTATCTTATTAATATAAACTTTTAGTGAAACCAGTTTGAAAGAAAAGGAAGTTCAGCTACAAGTTCATCTATTCTCCTTGAAATTGTTTCACCATCTCACTCCTGTACCCTCCCCCCTCTTTAGCATATTCCCTCTTCAAAAATCAACCCCACTGAAATGTAGATTCTAACGCTGTTGTTCATACACATAAAACAACATAAATCAAATCTAACAACCATCCCTTTTAGGACTTCCTCAAATAATATACTGTTGTTATAAATTCTTATAACAATAATCGTAAAGTTTATAACAATAATCTAATCTGGAGTATTCGGGACCACATCAATATCCTGGACCCCATAATCATTGGCAGATATAAGTAGTTGATTTACGAGGATTCGAGGCTTATCCTTCTTGGAGGCTTGTAGAAACATCAAAACTGGCGTGAACTGCTTATTCATTATTAGATCATTATAGATATGGCTTGCCCTCGAAATATCTAAACTAGAAAATTCTTCACCTGGCACCATTAAAAGTAGTTCGTCTGCAACGCTCTTCATGAGTTCACTCGACTCTTCAATGGTATTTAGTTCCACCTCATAACGGTTTTCCCAAGTAACTGATGTGCCGGAAGTGGGTTGTACACCAGGTACATATTTTTCAGGTGCACCAAAATACGGAAAAATGGGGACTATGCAGTAGCACTGCATATGCAACAACCACACATAAATATTTGAGGGTTGTGTAAACTTATATATCAATTTGAAGGTTGTAATGATCAACTTACCCTACTTTTATCCGCACAGTTGCACCATTGTAAAACTTTTCCCATTCCAATCAAGTCATTTACATGGCGGGTAATAATATCTACGCATCTTAATTCGATTTCCTTGTTGTACTTGCGAGCAAAAATTTCCCACAATGCTTTGTCACTCCAGGAATACTTCTGAGAAATAATAAGAGGGAAGACATATTTGTCTATCACATATAAATAATGTTCCTTCTCTTCTTCAATCATCTGTCAATAAAAATCCAAGAGAACAAGCTTATCATATAAACAATGTTCAACCATATAAACATTACTAAATCTTTTTAAAAAAAAAATTATCTCAACATATAACCGTAAATAACAATCCAGCAAGAAAACAATAACTTGGCATCCACACAAAACAACCACATTTCCATCAGAAGTCAACCAATACAGCAGTAGCACTGCTGCAGCACCAACAGAGCCGAGGTAGGGAAGGAGCCACTACAACCACAGAAATAGAGTCAATTTCATCCCAAAACTAAACTTACCCAGATTTCATTAAACATTACTAAATCTTTTAAAAAAAAAATTATCTCTATCTCTCTCTAATCCCATATACATATATGTAGTTTTTGTTTTAATGAATTTATAACTTTTTTAATTTTCCCGCAAAAATCAAAAGAGACTTTGTAGTAGGAGATTGAGAGAGTATAGTTTAAATACGTCACTCCAACTACAACATTATCTGAATTCATTTCAATTTCCTATACAATAATAGTCAACCAAACCAAACCACTGTTTACATGTGCTGCTGTGCACCCCATTTCCTGCATTCCTATCCAAACCTCTATTTTATTACATTCCGTATTTCCGCGGGAATTTTTATTTTTTAATTCATCATTTTTCTCTCTCCTCCAATTCCAATTTCTTCCCTTCATTCCTTCAATGGCGTCTTCTGAAGATCAAATCACCTTCAGAACCAAAATCCTTACTCGCCATCTCAACCCAAATCTCGATTCTTCACCTTCATCATCACCCAATCTTCTCTCCTCTTCGCCATGCCTTTCCTACACTCCTCCAGAACTCGTCGAATCGGAAGCAAATTTCGATACCAAGCAAATGCGATCTATATTGGATTCCCACAACATCAACCACCGTGACTGGTTGTACAACATCATGATTCAAAGCAATCTGTTTAACCCTTCGATTCACGGTCATCGGAAATTTGTTTGCCCCGATTATAATCAATCTATGGAACAACAAAGGGAGATTACTGTCAAGCGAATCGAGTATTTACGTGATTGTGGGGTTTTTTTGGGTTGGCTTACTGGTGATTCGGAAGAAGATGAGCTCCGTAAAATGGCGTTGAATGAAGTTTTGGCGATTTATGATCATTCTCTTGCTATTAAGCTTGGTGTCCATTTTTTTTCTCTGGTAAATTTTCTTTAATTTTTGCGAAATTCATAAATTTTATCACCATTTTTACCCATTCGTTTTATTTTATTTGAGGTCTTTTTTTTCTTTATTAAATACTAATACGAAAAATTCTAATTTATCGAAAATTGTGCGATGATTCAAATAAGTCATCAGATAATGAAGGGTAAATTAATTTTAATTATTTGCGTGAGCGGTGGTATTTGTAGTTTTATGGATGTTGTAATTTACTAGGAATTTTTTTTAGTAAAATTGCCAAATTATATATTGAAAATCAAGGACTTTTAATAGGATTGATTACTCACTCCCTCTGTATTTTATATTTTTGTAGGTGAAATCCAAAATTAATTTATTACTGTAATATGTAATTGTAGGCATACATGTTTGGGAGAAATGTTTCACTTAAAAAAAATACAGAAGGAGTAAAAGTAAAAATAATACTGTATTAAGTTTTTGATGAACATTATCACGAAAGACAATAATATAAACGAGATTTGATTTTGATACTGTACCACGGTCAAGCTGACTTCTAAACACATCACTCTTGTATATATTATTTCTGTTGGTAATGTCCAAAATTGATTTTTCTGTTCAAGTTTGTTGGATACGTGTTAAATAGGAGCTTGCATTTGCTGACTTCCAACTACTAGCAATACTTCACCTACCCCCTTGCATCAGCTTTTGATATAGAGTAGTTTAAGATACTAGTTCAGCAAATTGCACAAACCCCATTTAAAACTTAAAAGTCAACAATTTTTTTTCCTCACTCTTTAATGGCTTCTCAAGAAGAGATGATCACTTTTGATACCAAAGAAATGAGATCCCTTTTGGATATGCACAACATCGAAGACCGTGATTCGCTCTATAATTTGATTATTCAGAGCAGTGTGTTTAATCCAAGAAAGATAGGCAGCAGGATTTTTGTTTCCCCTGACTATAATGAGACTATGGAACAGCAGAGAGAGCTGACAATGAAGCGGATGCATTATTTGGTTGATCATGGGGTTTTTAGATGGTGGATTACGGAGGGAGGAGCGGCAGTTGAGCTTAGGAGAATGGCTTTGAATGAGGTTGTTCAGATGTATGATCACTCCCTTGCTGTTATGCTGGGGGCTCATTACTTTCTGTGGTATGGGATTTTTGCCCCCTAAATACGCCTACTTTGATGATTAAGATAGAATTTTGTGGTGAAGATCATTCAATTTAATGGTTCCTACTTCCTAGTATGGGAAATTGTTGTTTAACTATGACTTCTTCCTTTCCATAATTTTGTGAGCTATGCTGTGGTTTGCTAGGACGGGTTATTTCCTTTTTGCTGACTGTTTTATATTTCAAATTTGGTGCTTGGATAGTACAGACATCTAATATAGTTTGATTTATATGCTTAATGATGATGATTTAGAGTTCCTGTGCAGCTGGATTTGGGGAGTATTTTATGTGGAATTTCAAGCTAGTTTATTTAAGAATTTATTATGATGACATTATTGATGTCACTTATACTAACATGGAAGATATTTAGCTGTTAAATGGTTTTAGGGGATCCAATAAATAGACATCATTCAGTATAATTCACTTTTTCTCTTAAAAGTGGAAATGTTATCTTTTTCTTGATGCTACATAGTGGATTTCATATCTTGCGACAATGAGAAGGGGATTTAATTTCTATAGTTATATGTTTACTAATTACTTTTTATCTAGTTAAGATTTATCTTTATGCAATAATAGGAAAGTTAAATACGCCTACTTCAGTAGATTTTAGTTAATTCTTTTCATTGGCATTCTGACTCCCTCAAGTTGATGATACATGATATTAGTCATGATTTATTCATTATGCATAATGCACCATTAAATAAACAGCCACGTCACTCTCCTAATGGCCACACTTTTGTTGAAAGCCTTACCTTTAGCACCCAATGAACAAATGCCTTCTAGAAGTGCATCTTACTAAGGACCACAATACAATTTTAATTTTCAATTTTTTTTATAAATGATGATGGGCTCTATTCAATTCTAGAGGGTTTTGGTAGCTAAATGTATTTATTTATTGATTCTAGTAAGTCTTTGGAATGGCAGTCAACAGTAATTAATCTACTAAAACAATTTACCTTTCTTTTGTTTTGTTTTCTTTTCATTTTTTTTTAAAAATTCAATTTTAAACAACGATACATCACTACATTCCTCTCCTCAAAATGTGTGCCAAGTTTAAATTGGACTTTTTAGTTAGTGTAGAGAGTATCTCTTAAGATCTAGTGTGATTGATTAAGAAGTTTCTCCATCCCCTTTTTCTCTCTTTGAAGGGTTTACTGGAGAAAAAGGATTTTGACTTGGAGGGCTTGGATTCTAAATTAGCATTGGAACATAGCTTAAAAATTCTTTTCTTCTTTCGACATCTTTGGATGAACAATTTTGAGGTTGCTGGGTCTTTTGATTAATCACTACTTTGTAGATGCACTTGTTGATGTGGGGTTCGTGTAATTTTGGTTTCCATTTCATTAATTCCATGCTATTATGCCTCTTGGACTACGACATCATCAATTGCGTCTTTCTCCTGGTAGGATGTATTTGGAGTGTCTAT